CTCGACTTTTTTTTTTTTTCTTTGGTGAAAATATACATAGCCAAAGATACACCATTTCAAAAATTTCTACATGCACAGTTCAGTGACATCGACTGCACTTTCCAATTGTGCTGCTATTCTCACTTTAGATGAAGGTTTACAGAACAAAATAGTTTCTCATTAAACAGTACACGTGTTGCCCTATGACAATGGTTAACAACTTCACAACACATCAACACTATCTTTACTCAACCTTGGGGTTGCCTATCACCAGCTTTCCTGTCTCCTTCTGCCTTCTAGTCCTTGTCCCTGGACTGCTGTGCCTCATTAGTCCCATTTGGTTTTATGGGGCTGTCCACTCCCCGGCTGAACGGTGAACCTCGGAAGTGACTTCACCACAAGTGTATTGTATTTTTAAGTTCTAGAATTTCCATTTGATTCTTTTTTTTTTTTTCTTTCTTTCTATTTCTCTGCTGGGATTTCTTATTTTGTGATTCATGGCAAGCATATATTTTCTTTTACTTCAATAAAGGTAGTTATAATAGCTGCTTTAAAATCCTTGTCTGCTAATTTTCCCAACATCAGGGCCATCTCAGAATTGGTCTTCTTTTCTTTTAAGAATGTCTTCCATTTTCCTGGTTCTTCACATATTGTAAGTTTGGATATTATCCTGGACATTGCGAAGCAAAGGTTAAGTTATAGAGACTCTGGATTCTGCTATTTTTCTTCAGCAAGTATAGTTTCTTTAGTTACAGCAGGCAGTTATCTTGGTTGGACTCAAACTACAGACTCTTTCTTGGGCAGCTGTTTGACTCTTGGGTCAGGCCTTTTGTCTGTAGCAGAGTTGCTCTGTACGTGAGTGGTTCACGGGCCAGTCAGACGTGTACAGAGTTGAGGACACCTTCTCAGACTCTTTCCCTTCTTTCCATGGACATGCTTTCCCAGGTTCAGTCTTCTAGCTCCCCATACCAGAATGACTGCATTTTTTCCCCACAGAACCCAGCTAAAAGCTGTGAAACCATGAACTCATTCCATGTAATCCCCTCCTCCAAGTGCAGACTCCCCACCTGCCTGTTTGTGTTCAGTCTCCAGGTATCTTCAGGTAGCTGCTTTTAGTATATAGTTACCTGTGTTTATAGTTATCTGGAGGAATTTATAGTTTTTTGGAGGTGTGTTGGTGTGCCAGGATCTTAGTCATTAGCAAAACCAGTCTTTTAGAACTTTTGTTTTAGTAGAGAGAAGGTGGACAACATACAAATAAAAATGCAACCACTTAACATTATATATAGTTTATCAGTTATCTCTTGCTTTGTAACAAACCACCTCAAAACTCTGTGGTTTAACCCTGGTCACTCTTTTAACTCAGTACTGAAGTCACTCCTGAGGTTCACCTTTCAGTCAAAGATTAGACAGGCCTATAAAACCAAAAATAACACACGTTCAACTGCATATACTGACTAAATAGTTACACCAGCCCAGGGGCAAGGACTAGAAGGCAGGAGGGGACAGGAAAGCTGGACAAATGGAAATGGGGAACCCAAAGTTGAGAAGGGGAGAGTGTTGACGTGTCACAGGATTGGCAGTCAATGTCACAAAACAATATATGTATTAATTGTTTAATAAGAAACTAATTTGCTCTGTAAACTTTCACCTAAAGGACGCACAAAAAAATTAAAGAAGATGTAAATTAAAAAAAAAACTGGTTCAAATCAACCATCCTTTATTGTTGTAACTCATGTAACTATCAGTTGGCTCAGAGTCGACTTATCTAGGCTGGACTCTACTGAACTTGGCTGGACTTGGCTGAACTCAGGTGTTTGTGTTTTAGCTGGCTCACTCATGTGTCTGCAGGTTGTTGGGAGTTTTGCTCTAGACTAGGCTTGGCTGGGGCACCTTAATTAGGACAGCTCTTCTCCATGTGTCTCGTCTTCTCCCTGGGGACATCAGGCTGAGCTGGACTTGTGTGTCTCATGGTTATGACAAGTGCCAGAGAGCAAATGCACAGGTGCTTTCTCAAGCCTCTGTTTATGGCATGTCTTCTAGCATTCCACTGGTCAAAGCAAGTCACGTGGCTGAACTCAGAATCAAGGGTGGGGAAGCATACTCACCTCTGATGAGAGGATCTGTAAAGTCATATGGCAAAGAAGTCAGTATAGGGAATGGTGAAGAATTGGGACCATTAATGCATTCTACACAGCAGGAATAAGTGCCGTAAAAAATTAAAGCATGATGATAGAGAGTGATGAGGGCGTGTATGTGTGTGTGTACAAATATATACATGCCTTTTTTAAATATGAATTGGAATGTAGTTGTATAGCTTACTTTTTCATTTAATATGATAACTACAATGTAGTAAACTATTCCCAGCTTTTTGAATGTTAGGCCATTTTCTACTCCTCCCTGATTTATTGAATGCTTACTATACACTTTTAAAAGTACCTTAAACATGTTATCTTATTTCATCTTCACAACAATCTTATGAGATAGAAAATCTTATTGTTCCTGCTTTACAGATAAGGAAACTGAGGCACAGAGAAGCTAAGCAACTGGCCCCAAATCACTCACCTTATAAGTGACAGAGACATGGACCTGGACAGTCTGTCTTATTATACATTCTTATGTCCACATCTCTGTATATTTCTTTAGACAGTTTGCTTAAAAAAAAAAAAAGTTACCATCGGCCAGTTCTAACTCATGGTGACCACATGTATTACTGAGTAGAACTGCTCCATAGGGTTTTCTTGGCTATAATCTTTATGGAAGCAGATCACCAGGCTGTTATTCCATGGTGCCGTTGGGTGGGTTTGAATTGCCAACCTTTTGGTTGGTACCCTAGTGCAAGGCTTTTGCACGACCCAGGGACCTAGATAATTTGTTAGCAGTGGAATATTGGGTCAAAGGGTAGTTGCCACACTTTTAAAGTGCTGGCTGAGCATTTGAAAGTTGTTGCTAGGCCAGTTTGTCCCTCCCACTCCGGGAGCAAGACAGTAAAGCTCCAGGCTTGTCAGTGAACTGGTGGAACGTGAGCACTCACTTGGTGAGCTTCCGTATGTCTGACACCAGAATCAGTGTGGCGTCAACTGTGGAGTGCTGAGAAACAGCTGGGACCAGTGAACTGGCTGGGCTGAGAGCAGTAGACAGTGTGGCAGACCTGTGTGGGCCAAGACCCCAGGCCAGCTCCAGGTCCGATTGTTCACAGATGGCAAACGGTTCTGCAAATAGTGCCCACTTCTGGGACAGAGGATAGCTCTGTATGTAGTTAGTGTGACTCTCCAGCCTGCCCCACATCAGGCTCCCTGGCCCCACCCAGAGTGTGAATGATGGGAGGAAGGGAGCGATCTCCAGGGACTGCAGAAAGTGATCATCTGGGAGGTGGGGTTTTCTAAGTCTCTTGTCCTTTTTTTTATTTGCATGTTTATCATTTTCTGGTCTGGACCATATGGATGCTCATCTGATACCTTCTATTTTGAAACAATGGGGGAATGTGAATGGAGAGGAAAGAATTCTGGTTGAGTTTTAATTATTAAAAGTTCTGCATCGAAATTGGGATAGGAGGGTGAGGTTTAAATTGAGAATTTGGGATTTTCTCTAGATTCGGCTTTGAGGTAACTCTGGTTGCCAATGGATATACATAGCCACCCGTGAAGTTTTTTGGTTGCCTATAAATATCTTTGTTCAAAGTTTTATGTACTATGTATTTTCTGCCTAATACTTTTCTTTTTCTTTCTTTTTTTCGGCTTCAGGTTAGTAGCAAAGATGAAGATTTTCTTGACCTTTCTGTTGATGTGGAGCAGAATACATCTATTACCCACTGTCTAAGGTAACCTCATGAATTCTGAGCAGTGAGGTTCTAGCTTCTCATCAGGTTAGCAAATACATGGGGAAGAAACCTTGAATTTCTTAGGAGGTAATCTTCCTTCTGCTTAAACCAATATAATCCTATCACTTTCTGTTTCTTGTTTCCCAATAAAGATTAAGAATACGTTAACGTGGTCTAGAGAAGAGTCCCACTAGGGGAGAGAGGACCAAGTGGAAGCTCATTAGTCATTAAGCTTACAATAAGTTTTTAATCTTTAATACAAGATACAGGCTTTTGACTTTCATCAGACACACAGTCACACAATTAAGTTATTCAGTGCTACAGATGCCTATCATTATTCTTTCTAAGCTAATCTATCCTATTATTTGAAAAAGTATGCTCTTTTGAGTTGAGAACCAATTAGGGAATTGCCTTTCCCTCCATCTTTCAGCATTCTTTGCAGATCATTCTTGGAAAGAAATTCCTCCATTATTGTTGAGAGAAGGTAGGAGCCCCGAGTGTCACGATCCTTGCCTAGCATCACAGTAGAAAGTGTGTATTGACTTGTGTTGATATAAAGACACAGTCCCCTTTTCACCACCATACTCTCTCCTTCCCTCTCTTCCTTTCAACAAGAGGTCATGAGTGCTTATAATTTGTTCTAAACACTGGGAATAGAGAAGTGACATCAGGCAAGGTCCCTGATCTATGGCGCTTACATTCTAGTGGGAATATACAGATGGTGATCAGTGCCTTGAAGGAAATAAGAGAGGTCTAGAGAGTGGCTAGGTCCCTGGGTAGTGCAAACAGTTTTTGCTTGACTAGTAACCTAAAGGTTGGTGGTTTAAACCCACCCAGTGGCTCTGTGGAAGAAAATCCTGATGATCTGCTTTAGTAAGGATTTCAGCCAAGAAAACCCTATAGAGCAATTCTAATGTGTAACACATAGGGTTGCCATGAGTCGAAGTTGACTCCATGGCAATGGGTTTTTTTTTTTTTTGGTTTAGAGAGTGGCTGATAGTGGGGGTGCCAGTATAGACCAAGTGGTCAGGGGGCCTCCCTCTTGCTTAGAGACGTTTTATACAGCACAGAGACGTTTTATAATGTCAAAACAAGGCATTGTTGATTTCTATCCTTAGAATCAAGTGACAGAGCTGTTCGTTCAGAAGTTCAAGTTACTTGGAACCTTTTAGAAGAATAGATTAAAGGGGCTTTCTGTGGTAGCTTGGAGTGCTGGTGGCGCAGTGGTTAAGAGCTCGACTGCTAACCGAAAGGTTGCTACTTCAAATCCACCAGCTGCTCCTTGGAAATTCTATGGGGGCACTTCTGCTCTGTCCTATAGGGTCACTATGAGTTGAAATTGACTTGATGGTAATGGTTTGGGATTTTTTTCTCCTGTGGTAGCTCACTGTTAGAAAGTCACCTTTCCAGGCAAAGACACCAGTTCCAGCTTGCAAGAACTTCTTGGTTTGTCTAGGCATAATGTGTTGTGTGGAGCTGGGGGCTGATTATTCCCCTCCCCCCATGCCCTGACATTTACCTCAGCACTTCCTGTTGGATCTGGTGATCTGGTGTTTCTGCCCTTGTCTCCAAATGCCTTAGGTCTGGGTCTCTAGGACAAGTTTGTTATCTCTTTGAAAAGAGTTTTGTAGGCCAGGATGGTGTCTTTTTTCTTCTGGATCGTTCTGTTTATGGCATGGGTTCTTAACATTCCTCTTAAATGAAGCCATTTTTTTATTTCCCCTGGGTTTTATGATCATAGGCATCGGAAAAGTAAGGTTGCAGCAGCCTTAGTTACAGATGAGAGAATTGGGGGAAGGTGTTATGTGCCCACTGCCCTTCTTGGTGAGAATTTGAAGTTAAGGAGGTTGATTGCTTACCCTTAAAACCAAAAAAAAAAAAAAAAAAACCCAAAAACAAAAAAACACACACCAAACTCATTGCTGTCGAGTCAATTCTGACCATAGCTACCCTATCGGACAGAGTAGAACTGCCCCAGAGTGTTTCCGAGGAGCAGCTGGTGGATTAGAACTGCTGACCTTTTGGTTATTAGCAGCTGCTTCCCCTTAGTTCTATAAAATTCCTGGGCTGTTCAAAAGGGGCTGGGGCAGTGGCCATAGCTTTGAGATCATCCAGATAAAGGGCTAAGTAAGTGGTTGGTTATAATTTCAACCTTTGGGAACTTTATTATAAAGAAGTGCAACCCAGACTTATGTTTCCATTTTTTTTCCCCCTCTGGAGAAACATATATATTGGCCATGCATACCCTATTAAGGCAGGCTAGAAGTATTTGGAAATGTTAAAGCTAGGATGGGTGAGTGTCTCATTAGCTCGTGCTGCTGAAACGGAAATACCAAAGCGGGTGGCCTTAATGAACAGAAATTTATTTTCTCACAGTTTAGGAGGCCAGAAGCCTGAATTCAGGGCACCAGCTGTAGGGAAGTCTCTCTTTCGGCTCTTGGGGAGGATCTTTGTCTCTTTCAGCTTCTGTTGTTTGGTGATCTTCATGTGGCATCTATCTTCCCTCCATTTGTCCTTGCTTGTCTCTGTCTAATCTGCTCTTTTTATATCTCAAAAGTAATTAGGCTTGACACAGCCTACACCATTGTGGCCTCATTAACACAACAAAGGATATCTTATTTCCAAATGGAATCACATCCTGCAGGTATAGGGGTTAGGATTCCAACATATATTTTTGGGCGACACAATTTAATCCATAACAACAACAAAAAAACCCAAACCCATTGCCATTGAGTTGATTCCCTTTAACAGTGAATATGAAATTGCCTCTGAATGCCTTTTAAACTACATTAGATTCTCATCTGATTGGACCCTCCAGGCTGATATTCCTGACAAGCCTCCCTAAACTAGACCTTGACTAACCCACCTGTACCTGTCTTCACCTATGCATAAGGTCTCACATAAATAAGGAGAAGCCTGCCAGGTGTTGCCATTCACTGCTGAGAGTTCTGTGATGGGGGTGGCAGCTTTCCAACCTGCCCCAAAGGAGGGAAGTGCAGGAGAAAGGCCCAGGGAATAAATGATGCCAGTGGCTCCATGAGCTTTTTCTGTCTCTAAGACAGAAAAGAAGGAATAATTACATGATCTTTCTTGGCCTCTTTCACAGTTTAATTTGGTTTGCATTTTTGAGGGTTTGTTTTTAAAATTAGAATTATGCATTTGTTCTTTATGCATTATCTCCTTTATCCCTGTTACCTTCCAAGGTGCCCTGATGGTGCAGTGGTTAAGCACTTGGTTGCTAACTGAAAGTTCGGCGGTTTGAACCCAGAACCCACCAGCCACTTCGTGGGAGAAACACATGGCAGTCTGCTTCTGTAAAGATTACAGCCTCAGAAACCCTATGGGTGGTTCTACTCTGTCCTATAGGGTCGCTATGAGTTGGAATTGACTTGCTGACAACAGCGTGTTTGTCAGGTTTTGGTTACCTTCCAGAAGGGCTTTCAGTGATGGATTCCAATGTATTTTCACTGAACCTTTTTTCAGAGAAATGATGATATAAATCGTGGTTAAATTCAAGACACAGGTCTATAGAAGTTGTTAAATCCACACTGTAGTTGAGCTATAATTCTAATATTGTAGCTCAGTGGTGGGTCTTCAGCGAGGTGAGCCATCTGGGTACTGAGAAAGAAGGGTTTAGTTAAAAGTTCAGGAATGGCCTCAGGCAAAAACTTAAAATACCTGAGGTTTATCGTAATTATCTTTCCTCTGCTTTTTTTGGTATCTTTCTCTTCTACCGAGGTGCTTTAGTCCCTGCCGGTGGCTTCCTCCTGGAAACTTACATTTCTCCTCAAAGTGCTCAGTGTTCTAAAACCACCTTCCCTTCCCCTGGCCCTTCTCTCAAAAATTCCCACTCTCCCAGTGCAGGGGCAGTCAGCTAGGCTTTAGGAGGGAAGCAGGCTTTTAATTCTCCCAAAGCTCTTTCTATTTTAAAAATTAATCTTCTTAAATTCTTCTTTTTCCACTTACTTGGGAAACTTACGTACTCAGTTCATATACAGCCCCAACACACATCTTCATGCTGTTTGTCACACACAGGCAGGCTGGTTTCTCTGTTCCCTTTTCCTGACTTGTGTTTCTGTTTTGGTTATTATTGATATATGGCGTTTTCTAATACTTGACATAGAAGCCTTTCTTGTGGATTTCTTTTTAAAATCTTCTGTAATGTTCTAGTCACTGGTTCTCAAACTTTGTTGTTTATCAGAGTCACCTGGGAAAGTTGGTAAAACTAGAGGCTCGGGTCCTATTCAACTTAAGTGAGTCTGGGTCTCTATTTTTTATTCATTTCCAAGATGATTCAGATACCACCAGAGTTTGAGAACCACTGGTCTGGGTCTCTGCTACCCAAACAGTGATCTGTGGGCCGGCACCATTGACACCACCTGGGATCTGATTAGAAATGTAGAATCCCAGGCCCCACCCAAGAATGAATCAGAATCTGCATTTTGACAAGGTCCTCAGGTGATTGAGATGCACACAGATATTCTGGAACCACCTGGGAAGCTTTACAAACACTAATTCCTCGGTCCCACCTGGAGAGATGCTCATGTGATCGATAGGGGGCGTGGCACTTGGGTATTGGGATTTTTTTTTAAAAGCCCCACCAGGTGATTCTAATGAGCAGCCAGGATACCCAGTGCTCTAGATTCTAGAGCAAAGCTTCCAAACTGGTGTGCCAGGGAAAATGGACTACAGGTGTATATTGGTCCTCTCAGCTCCTGGAGACGGGGCAGGCCTGGAGCTGCCCAGAGCCCCGTGACCAGCCGCAGAAGCAGCTGCACTGATTCACCTCAGCATGCTGCTCTAATAGTATCGTTTTCTATGTGGATCATGGTGTGAAGATTATTGGGAACCACTTATTTTTTTCAAATTTTTGAATTATTGTATTGTGTGAAACAATGAAGATTTTAATTGAAAATGTATTAAATATAGAAAACAACTTGGATATGACAGCCATATTTATAATAGATAGCCTTGCCATCTGGAAACATATTCTTTCTCCATTTTTTTCAAGTTTTCTTGCATGTATTTCCATAAAATTTTATAGTTTCCTTTATAAAGGCATATATTTCTTAGATTTATTCCCAAAGTGTACTTTAAATAATGCTTTGTTTCTACTATGACTCTTCTTAGAGAAATGCAGGGTGTTGCGCTTTCCTCTCTTGCCTCTTTTCTGTGCTCTGGAAATTTATCCCAAGTGTCCCAAAGTCTTCTCCCCGGGCCTTTGACTTCATCATTGAAAAGTTTCCTTGACTTGTGTTGCCTACTTTTGTTCCAACAACTGTACATATTTCTTAGACCTGTCAGCGTTATCAACTTGAAATATTCTTGGTTTGTGCTTTCTTAGGGGAGTAATGTAAGGGTTTTTTCCTCCTTGGACAGTTTTAAGGGTATTTAAATATAGGAGGGGAGAACCCAGGGGCTTCCATTTGACTCTGGTGTCTTCTCACTTTTTTTTTTTTAATTTCGCACCTTTTACCCTTAAAAAATAAAAATAAAAAAGGCGTTTATCAACCTAAATGAATCTCCAATTGGTAGAATTTTAAGCAGTTAAATTTAAGGTAGACACTCCTGAGGTAGAAATTTGGGGAGGTTATAGGACTATAAGGAGTCCCTGGGTGGTACAAATGATTAACACATTTGGCTGCTAACCAAAAGTTTGGAGGTTCAAGTTCACCCAGAGGCACCTTGGAAGAAAGGCTTGGCCATCTACTTCTGAAAAACCAGCCATTGAAAACCCTATGGGGCACAGTTCTACTCTGACACACATAGGGCCACCATGAGTCAGAGTTGACTCCACAATGACTGGTTCTGGTTTGGTTTTGTATAGGTCTGTAGGGAGGAGAGGAAACTCTGGTGGCATAGTGGTTAAGAGCTATGGCTGCTAACCAGAAGGTTGGCCGTTCGAATCCACCAGGCGCTTCTGGTTTTTTATAGGGAGGAGGTACCCTTTAACTAGACCTTCTCTGCCTCAGAGTTTACTGCTGAGGTTGGAAGCCTCTTTTCCTAACTTGTCCTAAAAGCATTGCCCTGTGCCTCATGGAAACGCACTTCCACCCAGCTGAGGCTGGGCAGGATGGTGGTTATTCGTAAGTTGGGTATTTAAGATGGGACTAACTTCTGCTATATTTCCACCTATTTGGATCTACAAATACTTCAGAGAAAGCTTTTTTTGAGAAATGAGTGAGTAGAAAGTGTTTAATTCCTTAAACTTCACTGCAGTGCTTTCCTTGATTAATTCTGATTCTTGAGCTGGATGAAGAGGTTTTTTTGTGATAGACATTCCAAGGACATGATCCTCAGCATTGCCTATGCTCCCTTCCCTCTCCCACTGACATCCCCTTTACACCCCAGAAAATCCTGTGCGAGACAAGACAAGATTTCATAGTAGTTACTCAACTGAAGAGTCAGCCAGAGTTCATCCAGCTAAGTTTGACTTTGTGTTGTGCACAAACACTTGAAATCTGAAGGCTGCATGTATGGTAATTGTCTTCTACATTGTTTCCTTGCCCTTTGAACCCCTCTAATCATTCCTCCAGTGCTGCCAAAAGTGTATTTCTAGAAAATGTTGTCTCAATTTCTTAGTGCTGATGTAACAGAAATATCATAAGTGGGTGGCTTTAACGACCAGAAATTTATGTTCTCACATTTTAGGAGGCTAAAAGTCCAAATTCAGGGTGCCAGCTCTCAGAGAAGGCTCGCTCTCTGTTGGCTCTGAGGGAAAGTCCTTGTCTCAGCTTCTTTGGCATTCTTGGTGTTCCTTGGCCATCTCCACATGGCATCTGTCTTTTTCCTCATTTGTGCTTGCTTCCTTCTGTGCCTGATCTCTTTGGTATCTCAAAAGTGGTTGGTTTAAAACACACCCTGCACTGATTGGCCTCATTAACATAACAAAACCCTATTCCCAAATGGGATTACTTCCACAGGTATGGGGTTAAGCTTCACAGCACAACACTTACTTTGGGGGAACACAATTCAGTCCATAACAAGCACTGTCTGATTATATCTTTTCCTTTAGTGGGACTCCAGAGCCACAGGGTCCATGCTTCTTAGCATATGTCTTAGGCTGGTTTCTCTAGAAAAGCAAAACCATTAAAGCTTATAAATATATATATATAGAGATTTATATCAAAGAAACAGCTTATGCAGTTGTAGAGGCTGGAATCTCTCAAGTCCGTGGATTAGGATAGAGGCTTCCCCTGGATTCATGTAACCGCAGGGGTTGGTGAACCCAAGATCGGCAGGTTGGAAAGTAGGGCTCTGCTCACAGGCTGTGAAGATCGATAAATCCCAGGATCGGCAGATAAGCTGATAGCTCAAATCTCAAGAACTGGAGTTCAGACGAACAGGAGGCAGCTGCAGAATCCAGAGCAAGCAAAAAGCCGGAAGTCTGCTAATATTCAGATGTAGGCCACACCCCCAGGGAAACTCCCTTTCCACTGACTGGCTACTCACAGCATATTCAGTCACGGGAGTGATCACATATAAACACTGAGAATCATGGCCCAGCCAAGGTGACACACAATCTTAACCATGACAGCATAGTACATGAGGCTGCATGGCCCCGTCCACCTGTGGTCTCCCGCACATGCCCAGGTGTTTGTCTGTTCCTTATCCCGATGAGTCTGCACTGCAGTGTTCCATAATCTGTCTTCACTCTGTCTACCTGGCACACTTTCCCTCTTTGAGCACCTGACTTGGGTATCATCCCCCTGGAAAAACATCCTGAATTACCCTGGTTCAAGTTCCTTTCTCCTTCCTCCATGCTCCCTCTGGACTTTATACATGTTTCTGTCTTTGTTTGTTCCTTCATTCAACCAACAAATACTATTGAGCACCCCTGTGTCAGTCCTGAAGGAGCCCTGGTGGTACAGTGGTTAAGCACACGGCTGCTACCAGCCTGCTGTACGGGAGAAAGATGTGGCAGTCTGCTTCTGTAAAGATTGCCTTGGAGACCTTATGGGGCAGTTCTACTCTCTCCTGTAGGGTTACTATGAGTGGAAATTGACTGGATGGCAGTGAGTTTTGGGTTTATGTCAGACCTGTCCTTGGCACTGGGAGACAGCAGTGAGGGAGACAGATGGAGCCACTGTCCACGCAGAGGAGAGACAAGTAATCAAATGTGCAGGACGATGGTTTCAGGTAGTGGTACATTGTGCTTGGAAGGAAATAAAACAGCCACATGATGGGGCTAGGATGGGTTGGTGAGGCAGATGGCTTTGGATGGAGTGGCAAGGGAAGTCCTCTCTGACGAGGTAACATTTGGGCTGATTTGAGCAAGAGGGGTGCCAGCCATGGAAGCATTTGTCAATGAAGCTGTCAGTGCGGAAAACGGCACCTGAAAATGCCTGAGTCAGGGAAGTGTTTGGCACTCTGGAGGGACAGGAGGAGGCCCTGTGGCTGGAACGAAGTGTGCGAGGGGAGGAGGTGAGTAGGCAGGGGTCTGATGACCGACAGCAAGGATTTCGAGTTTCCTCCTCCAGGATTTTATTCCTAAGTGCAGTAAGGAATGGCTGGAGGATTTTAGGCAGGGGCATCAGGTGGAGTGATTTATGTTTAAGCTGCTCTGAACACTTCAGGTTGTAAATGGTTCATTGGCAGGTGTCTCTGTTAGACTGAGCAAATCCCGGGGCCTAGCCCAGAGTACTGTCGGTAAACGTCTGGGGATTCAACGAATGAACAATCTGTTTTCTTTTGAATACGCTTTATTTAGGTGGTTAAGTCATTAACACCATTTAAATAAGATTTTCAATTTAATAAAATCCAATCATTCCGGTGCTGGAGCACTTCCTTTTGAATAAGAAATGTTACAGACTTTTTCCAGACTCCAGGGCATTACTGCATGCTGGATTTTCTTTGTGGCCTTTGAAGCAGTACCACAGGAATGTTAAGTAGAATCTCAATGACCAGAGAAGAATGAAAAGCCATGACATTTACAAAATGAAAACGATAAGTAGTACAGTAAAACCTCCTGAGAAAGTGAATTCAGATGTAACAAACATAATGGCATTTGCTCTCTAAAGGAGGCAGGCTAAGGTTCTTACGTTTGGGAGCAGGGTGGGTAGGAGGCGCTCATCTGATCATCTGGGACTTTCTCAGTTCAGTCTAAGCTCAGCTGTATATGGCTTAAGTTTCAGTATCTTTTGTGCTCTTCGGCAATATGGGCCACCTGAGAAATACATTTTTTTCATTAACTTCACAGTAATGTCACTTTGCATTTGATGTGGTTGAGTATTTTGGAGCTGACTTAGTGTTATTGTGGGCTTTTACTGTAGTTAGTATTTTTTCATTAAATTTTTTCATTTTAAATGGAGAGATACACTGTTAAACCCTGAGTTTTTCTGAATCAGTTAGAACCTTAGTTTTTATCCATCTGTGTCCCATTAAATAAAGCTATACTTAAAAATCTCTCATGATAAAATTTTAACCTAATCCAGTAGGCATGGTCTAATGGCATAATAGCACCTAGTCTTAAGAAAGGTCTTTTCTGAGTACTTCTTTCCCATATTCCCTTAAAAGTTAACCCTGTAGGTGATGCCAGTTGCCACTGAGTTGATTCCAACTCCTGGCAACCCCATGTGTGTCAGAGTGGATACCCCACAGGGCTTTCAGTGACTGTGACCTTTTGGAAGCAGATCACCAGGCCTTTCTTCTGAGGCATCTCTGGGCAGATTCAAACCGCCAACCTTTAGGTTAGTAGCTGCACACTTAACCATTTGTACCACCCGGCAACTCCCCACCAGCCTGACTGAGGGTTGTAAAATGTGGTATACCAAGTACATTTTGGACTTCTAAACATATGAAAATATTTTTCTCTGCAGAGACTTCAGCAACACAGAAACACTGTGCAGTGAACAGAAATATTATTGTGAAACATGCTGCAGCAAACAGGAGGCCCAGAAACGGTGGGTAGGAGGGGTAGCTTGGGGGTAACTGTGTGTGATGAAAAGGGACCAGACGGTGGAGCCCAGGAGGTCTGGTTTTGAATCTTGGCTCCATGGACTTAGAGCTACATAGCTCTGGAGAAGTCACTTACCCTCCTCATCTATAGAAGTGGGAGAGGAGAATTGTCTATGTGTGTGATTCTTTGTTCATTTTTTCATTCAACAAATATTTGTTGAACCCTGCTATGTGCCAGATACTGTGCTAGGTAAACAGGTGGTCATCCAACATAATCTCTATCCTCTTGTGATTAAAGATAATTATATAAAATACTTAGCATAGTACATGACATGTACTAGGCAACCAATGTTACCATTGCCAATATTTCCTACAACACTGGGGCTTCTTATTTAGATACAGAAGAGGTTAAGAAAAAAATTAATCATTTAATAGGGAATCGTGAGGAAATCAATGACATATCAGTTATATAGATAGGTGAGAACATGGCATTCTGGATTGATACAGGACCCAAGAGTCCCCATCATTTTACCAGCACCAGCCAACTACAGCTCTTGGACAGTATGAGATAACTAGTGATTCCACATTATCTGCCCTCAGAAGCCAAGAAACTTGACATTTTAATTAGCCTGTGAAGCCCTACTATGGGTTAAATTTAACCTTGCCAGTGGTTCCGAAATATTCACAGTAGCTCACAGGTGCTCATTACTGCCTTCCAAAGCCCTCAGGCGTCTAGAGAGCTGAGGTTGAAGTCATTTCTCTCTCCAGTCTCTCAGCCCTCTTCCTCCAGAGATGCACATCTTTCCTTGGTACATCAAAACTTGGAGAAAACTTAGAGTCATTGTAGTACGCAGAGGTGGAGGTGGTGGGCAGGGGAGCTCGGTTTTGCTCCCCATCCTTATAATCTAAGTCTGCCTAAGGCCAGTCCCAGGTCTTATGATGTGGCATTAAGGTGTTTCCTCCCCAGCCCTGTAGGCTTACTGTGTTAAAATGTCAGGTGTTCTGTAAAATATGGGCTTCCCCATTATTCTTATCTTTCTACTGATGTTTTCATTTTGCTTATTTTTATGAACCAAGGTTTTATACCAGTAGATTCCTTAATATTTTTTTGAAATCCTGATCGAAAGGAGGAAAAACATGGAACAGAGTTTTAAATTCTCATGGAACCCAGACTTTCTGGAGGCATGAGGCTGGATGAACCCCTGAAATTATTGTGCTGAGATAATCTTTAAACCTTAAACCAAAAGTATCCCCTGAAGTGTTCTTAAAACCAAACGTAGTTTAGCTTAATTAGTAAAAAATGTCTGTCTGGAACATTGTGCTCTTGTAAGAACTAGCTATATGGGATCAAGTTGACAACAGAAACTTGAAAGTTTAGCTAGGAAACTTAGAGGGCAGTGATTTTATGTTAATGGGGGAGGAACAATTTGGACAAGGTGGGTGAGAATGGTTGTACATCTTGAATGTAATCAGTGTCACTGAATTGTACATGTAGAAATTGTTGAATTGATACATGTTTTGCTATGTGTATTTTCAGCAACAACAAATTATTTAAAAAAAATACGTTCTCTTGAAACTTCTTCTTTTCAAATAATTTGCATTGAAAATGTAGACAAGCTGAGCAGCCTTTATACCAATTTAGTCAATTCATAGGATGGTGGACCTGGAGGGTAACTAACTGGAAGATCCTTTATTCTGGCAAAGCATTATCTGTATAAACTGCATCTGTGTGACTTTTTGCTGTGCAGTATTAATGATCATCTGGAGGGAAATAAAGCTTTCTGTGCTTATGTAAGTTTGGAAAATGTTACATCAAACAAAACAGTTTCTCAAAACGTTCAGTATGCTCGTTGTATGCTCACTGAGGGTCTGCAGAATAGAAGGTAGCATTGTCCAAGCTTAATTGGCCACAGAGCCCCACATCTAGTACTACATCCAGTGTTCTGACGAGCCCACTTTGGGAAATGTAGCCCTAAGCCGATGTCTGCATTTTATAAATAAGGAAACTGAGAGCCAGAGAAGGCAAATCGCTTGTCCAGGGTCGCATGAGTAAGGATTGAGTGAGCCTAGTGTGTTTGGTTTTCCTGGTGACCATGAGTGTGTGTAATTTCTGAAGAGTTCTTCTGCTGGTCCTCAGCACCTTCGAGTCCAGTCTGCATCCCTCTGCCTTGTCCTCTTCCCACTTGCTTTTCCCAGTAGCTATCAGCCCTCCTCGCCATTTTCTCAGGGGGTGAATTATTCAAATGTTCCTGTCTGGGAAACAGAGGACAGTGACAGCAATTCCATATCATATTGTTACTGGTGCACAAATTCGGAAAGTCTCCTTTCACCAAACAGTCACATAGTTGTGCTTTTCTCTCTGTCTCACTGGCTGTGCTCCAATTAGCCAGGAATGTCAGTTGAGCCAAGAATGTGGGTAGATAAGTGAGCATACTTGTATTTTATGTGAATTGTTTGGTTATGTGCTGGTTTGAAGTCCATTAGATCCCTTCTGCTCTCCATTTGTGCAGGCGATAGTGTATTCTATCTGTGCAACAGGTTTTAGGAACAACTGATGTTCTGTTTCATCTTTCTTAGGATGAGAGTGAAAAAGCTTCCCATGATTCTGGCCCTCCACCTAAAGCGGTTCAAGTACATGGAGCAGCTTCACAGGTACACCAAGCTGTCATACCGCGTGGTCTTCCCTCTGGAGCTCCGGCTCTTCAACACTTCCAGTGACGCAGTGAACCTGGACCGCATGTATGACCTGGTCGCTGTTGTGGTTCACTGTGGCAGGTAAAGGCAGGTGGAAAGCAGGGTTGTATACTGCATGCTCATTATCAGTGTAAGAGTTGTTCGTTTGCCAGAAGAGACCTAGCTGCACTCTTACTGGAGTCCCTGGGTAGTACAAACAGTTAAGCACTCGACTACTAGCTGAAAGGTTGGCGGTTCAGACTCACCCAGAGGCACCTTAGAAGACAGGCCCTAGGCGATCTGCTTTCAAAAGATCATGGCCTTGAAAACCCTGTGGAGCAGTTCTGTTCTGCACACATAGGGTCACTGTGTGTCATAATCAATTCAATGGCAATTAACAGCAACAAGCACTCTTACTGGGCTGAGAGACACAGTAATAATATTATAGGGAATCTTTTCCAAGCTCTTGTTTATTTATAATCTCAAAATAAATTAAGATGCCTACATAACACACGTAAAATAAAGTAAAACAAATCGCATAATAATCTAAATGTTCTATTATAAGGGAAATAATTTAATAACTATCCATGAGATAGAAATGGTGTTCATAAGGAGTTTGAAATAAAATGGAGAAATAAATGCATATGCTATGATTTTAACTTTTTAAAAAGCCAGATTATATATATAGTAGCATCTCCAATGTACTTTAAAATGTATGAATAAACATTGGAAAGACTAGATCATATTAAGAATTTTGTGGCATTTTGAATGATTAAAAATTTATTCTTTGTACGTTTTTCAGTCTTTTTCTAATATTCTTTAATAAGTACATAATCAGAGAAAAGAGAATGAGAGAGAGAGAGGACCCCTGAATATGGAGAAGCAAAGTGTTTTGCTGAAAGTCCTTTAAGCAAATGCTGCCTATTCTGTAATTTGGTATGAACATGGAAATGTATGTTGAACATTCACGTTTGTTACCCTTTGCTCAGTTGCGATGGGTTTATGTTCCCTTCCAGGGATAGACATGGCTTTCCCTCTTTCCCTCCTTGATTTTAGGCTGGGGTGCGTGGGTAAGAGCAAGTGTCTTTTCCTTGCCATCTGCCTGGACTGTGGTGAATATGCCCTTACCAAGAGGTGGCCTCCGAGCCACCTCCCTGAGGATGCGTGGTTCCATGCAGAGGAAGGGATTGATTTATTTTTCACTTCGTTGTTGGGTGGATGGTACCAGAAGCTATAACTTCCCATCTGAAGCATCCCATTTTTTCTATGCATATTAAATTTAAGTCACTGAGTATTTTCTCACGTTCTCAGAGAGTTATATTTATTGGCCAGTCATCAGCCAGCTTTGTTTCCCCTGAAGGATAGTTGTAGCAGTCATTCTTTCAAAGAACACAAGGGCCTGGTGGTCTGTCAACACTGGGTAGAACCCCACAGCAGGGGCTGGAGGAAGTCTGGGGGCAGGCAGAGCCTAATCCATGGAGGGTAGATGATGGGTGGCGCTGGTGGTGTAGACAGGCAGGATGGCTGTTTAGACAGACCAGGGAGGCTTGGTGAGGGGACAAGTACCCAGTATGGATCTCTGTGGGTGCCTGAGGGGCTTGGGGGCAGAACTCTAATCCCTGGGAAGACTGGTGAGGGCAGCCAGAGACACATTTAGGGGAACTGGGGGGCCACTGGGGTTCTGGAATAGTTCTGTAATCGAAGTCTGAGGTCAGAGCAATCTGGCCGCAAGGGTGAGTTGGTGCCGAGTCATGTCTGCTACTGAACTAGGATTCTTTACATTCCTCCCCACTAGAGGTAGGATTGTTTTCATACAGGGGACCAGGGCTGGCCTTCGCCTGGGGATCAGGTGGCTTCCAGCTGTGAGCATGCGATGCACTGAGGTTAGGGGACTGAGCCTATCCTCCTTTTGTGTAGGACCTCTGGCCCACACTTACAGAGGGTGCACAGGCTCAGCATTGATTTCTGCAGCAAATGTTTTTCAAACCCATGTTCCTGGGTTCTGTGCCAGGCTGTGAAGATACAGTGGTAACAAGACACATGGGGACCCTGCCCTCCTGAAGCTTACAGTCTAGCGGGGAAGGTAGATAATTAACAGGTAAACACATCCGCCAGCTGTCACCAAAGCCAAATCACTACAAGGTAATTTGTGATTTTGAATGGTGCTATGGGGAATAAATAGTGATGAGAGTAGTAGTGGGAGACATCTTTCCAGGGAAGATGGTCAGGGAAGATTTATCTGGGAGGTGATGTTTGAGCTAAGGCCTAAAGGATGAAATAGGCCAAGAATGCAAAGGTTGGGGCAGATTGTTTTAGGCAGAGCAAGAAGTCAGTGCAGGGGCCCAGGACTTGAAGGGCGTGATGCTTGAGAAGACAGGGTGGAGACTGGTGGGCTAGAGCATAGCAGGAAAGGGAAAGAGTAACTGTAGTGAGGTTAGAGAAAGGCAGGAATGGATCAGGCAGGTCATTTTAAGAAAGCAAACTAAAGGGAAGTCTAGCGTTTCAGCTGTAATGGTGCTTTAAAAACAAACAAAAAAAAAACCCAAAGCTCTTGATTTAGGATCCAAATCCCTGCAATTATGCAAATGTAATGTAACTATACGTTGTTGTTGTTAGCTGTTGTCGAGTTGGCCCCTGACCAGTGGCAACCCCATGCACAATGGAATTGGACCATCGTGACCCAGAGGGTTTTCACTGACTGATTTTTGGAAGTAGATTGCCAGGCCCTTCTTCCTAGTCTGTCTTGATCTGAAAGCTCTGCCGAAACCTGTACAGCATCATAGCAGCACGTAAGCCTTCACTGACAGATGGGTGGTGGCTGCACATAAGGTGCATTGAGCGGAAGTTAAACCTGGATCTGCCTCATAGAAGGCGAGAATTCTACCACTGGACGGCCATTGCTCCCATATAACTCTGTAGTAATAGCTATTTAGTTGTTCTTTCTACTTTTTTTTCCATATTGCATAGTATATATAGCTTTTGATTTTATCATTTGTTATTATGCTTTGTGGTTTTCTAGCATCTTTCTAAACTTAAATCAGATCACATCACTTTTCAGAATTCCTCAATGTCTTCCCTGGCTCACTCAAAGCAAAATTCAAAACCTTAACTGTGATCTCCCCCTTACCACCTCTCTGACCCCCTCCGTCTGCCCTCCGCCTCACTCACTCTGCTCCAGCCCTTCTGGCCTCCTTGCTGTTCCATGAACATACCAAGCATTACCCCTACCCCCTGTCCCAGGCCTTTGCACCTGTTATTCATTATTCCAGAAACTTCCATCGTGTAGTCACATGCCCCCCACCCCCATTTCCTTCAGGGAAATTTCCTTCTGCTCAAATCCCATGTCATCAGAGAGGCTGTCTCTCACCACTTTATATCACATAGTAGGGCCCTCACCTCCTGCCCGTCACTCACTATCAAATACCTTGCTTTATTCTTCTTTGTGGAACTTATCATCACTTGACATAATGTGTTGATATGTTTAAGTTGTTTATTGTCCAGCCCCCACCCCAGGCTCTAAGAAGTGGGGACTTTGTTCTGTTTGCTGTTTTTTTTTCTTCCCCCTCTAACAACCAGGATAAAGCCTGGCACATAGGAGGACAGTAATTGTTTGTTGAATTCAAATGTCTGTTTTCTCCACTGGGTTGGGGTCCTTAGAAGGTGGGTGTTTCATACATCTTTGCCTAGCATGGTGCCGGCAAATGGGGCTCCTTCATAATTCATGGCCAGATGAATGTGGACAGAGAAATGAGTTATTCCAAATTCTCTCTCCCAACTAGTGATTCCAGTGACTCACTACTTAATAAGGAGTGAAATAGCATTTTATGAAACTCTGTTATAAAGAAGTAGGTGTTAACTTGGTACCTTTCTTTTGTTTTGCTCTTTTCCAGTGGTCCCAATCGTGGGCATTATATTACTATTGTGAAAAGTCATGGCTTCTGGCTTTTGTTTGATGATGACATTGTAGAGGTTGGTATGCCCATGTTCTCCAATGGGGGAGGGCATAGATGGTATTTTAGGGTGTGTGTATGTGTAGACATTTTCTAACATAGGCCTGTTTTCTGATAATCTAACTGGAAAACAACTTACTTTCCTATCAAAACTACATTCTCCCTTTTCATGGGAAAAGGGGAAGGAGCATGATCATGGACTCATTAATACTGTGTTCTTGTTAAGTTACCTGATCAGCCATAGATGTGGGATCTCTGTGCCACCATGAATTATATTAATTTGTAAGTCCTGTTTCATACCATGACCAGAGCCCTCTCTGGTACAGACCAAATAAGAGACTTCACAGTTCTATTAAAATTCTTACATTATACTAGATTTTTCTTGTATTGATTACTGTTTAAAAAATTTTTCCCAGTCCTTGGAACATGGAGATCCTTATATTACACAGAAAAATTCCATATGTTGATTTTGTTGCAAAGGAATGCTAGCTAGAGGGAATTTCACACTCAGAGACATGATCTATTTTAGCCTGCTGGGGTAACTGTTTTAGTGTAATACCACTAAAGGGAGGAACTTTGGTGGCCTGAAGGAATTAAGTTATTCCGGAGACATCCGCGGGTACCCCCCAGCCCCTCCTGCCACGCCAGTTTACCATTTGAAAGACTGAAGTCCTGGCTTCTTCAGAGTGCTTACACAGGGTTGCCAGTAGGCTCAAGAGTGACTTCCTTCCCCAGTTACCTGCAATTTATGTAATGATACCCCTGTATCAATTATCCATTTACTATGAAAAGTTCCTAATTGTGATATTGTAACAAGTAAAGTTTCTTAGATTTTGCTGTGTATTTCATTAGTTTTTCTTGTCTTCTCCCAGTAATCATGTCAAACAATTGTATTGATTTCTCTTTCACTGCAGAAAATAGATGCTCAAGCGATTGAAGAATTCTATGGCCTGACATCAGATATATCAAAAAATTCAGAATCTGGATATATTTTATTCTATCAGTCAAGAGAATAAAGAACCGTGGAACTCATTCAAGTGGGGAGAATGTTCAAAGCACTATTACCTGGTTTCTCTGCAGACTTGTTTTCTTCCCTGGCGGCCCACCAGTGGCATCACGCCGAGTGTCCATGGTCTGGCTGTGTTAGACTGTTTCCCCTACCTCCCCTTTTTTACATGCAACACTACTCTTGGTTTTGTTTTAGTCTGATGTAGAGTTAACTGCAATCAGATTGTAGTAAGATTTATATGAATAACAGTTGCGAACTGAAGGACTGGGTATACACTATGACGCTCGTCATGTCTGGTTGAATTAGAATGGCATTTCTTATGAATGTCTGCAGTCTACTTGGGGTCTTTGCTAAACTTCATAAATATCTTCCAGGGTCTCCTTACAGTACATTCCTTTTTACTCATCCCTGGAAGCACTGCTACCCGTTTTTAGCTTCCCTTGCCTCTCTTCTGACAGAAGGACAGAAGAATTGGGTAGCCGTTCACCTCTTAGGGCTGTGCTATAGCTTCTAAGTTGGCGCAAGGGAAAATGTCGAAGAGCGAGTTCTCCACTAAAATCATCCTCCATGCTGAATGGGGTGAAGAGAGGCTGTTCATGGTGGTAGCGGCTGCACCATTAGATTCCCAGGGTCTAAGAAGGCTTGGAGCTCAGGGCAGGCAAAGCCAAGAGGAGGGCTCTATGGTGGACAGTGAAAAGTTACTTTTCTTAATCTTTCTACCAAAATGAAATTTCAGGAAAATAACTATATAATGTTTGTTTTTAGTGACCCCCTTAAAAAAAAGAACAAAAAACCTTTTCTTCTGTAAGGTTCCGTGAGTATTATTTATCCTTTATCCGACACTGCTAAGCTTTTCACGGTATCTTTCCAGTCCTGCTGACATTCTGTACAAGTCCGTGGTTGCAGGGCTGAGAAGCCACGTTGGCTGCATCCGGCACAGCTCTCCATAGCCAGTCAGTACCGGCATCATTCTTGTATCAGGAACAGTGAAGGCCCTGCATCTGCACAGCCATCCGGCTGCACTGCACAGCTGTTAACACTTTCACATTTTCAGTCTGTTTACTGAGGCACTGGCAAGTCCCAGGGTTGATGCAGGACCTCACCGAAGGGAGTACTGGAAGTAGCTGAGTATAAAGGGCGGTCAAAGGAAGTGTCTATGGGCAGGTGGAGGAATGGACAAAATGGTGGCTGTTTCTTTGGCTCAGACTCCTAGAATGCATGACAAGACGGAGTTTTTTGGAAGAACCTCATCTCACTGTAGTTATTTTTACTTATTTTCATTTTTGTTATATCTGTATTTATTAGAACATTTGGGTATTAGTGCCTTTTATTAAAAGGGTTGATTTGACGTTTGGCCGTTGAGCTGGTTTTTGGCTTCCTAAAAATACGATGAGTTGTAGATCCTGGCTTCTGTTTGGGAAGTCAGTTAACTTCCATACACTATGATATACTGTGAACGTATTATTTTGTTACCTAATAAATTGGTGAACAAACGTGCAAACTTTTGGCATAATGTGAACTAAAACTGAAATTGAACAATGTTGGTGGTCGTTTTGCAACAATGAAGAGAATAGCACTTTATCTCGATGAAAACTGGATTTCTTATCTTTGAAAAGATCTTGAACTGTCTGTTGCTCAGAATTTAAGCATGCCAACATTTCATTTGTTCATGCTTGAGGTGAAATGTTTTACTTCTCACTGGAAAAGACAAAAACAGGGTGATCTTCACATTATTGTTTTATACAAGTGACGAAAATACACCTTGCCTTGTTTAGAGGCAAATTCATATTTATAAATATTTTGTCTTTTTTTTTTTTTTTAATTTCCTCCCTAAACATATGCGGTAATCACTTATGTGGAAGGTGAGTCTTTATTTTGTTTTTTTAAGGAGAGACACTTTCCAATTGAAGGTGATTGATAGAGGGAAACATTTGTACTATATACAACCCATGCATTTGACTTCAGTTTATAAAGTTAAAAAAAAGTAATGGTTGATCTCTTATTAATATATTTGGAACTGATTCATAAGAAAAACCATTAAAAAACCTTCGAAATGACTCTTGGAGCTAATTTATTAGCAAAAATGTTTCAGTTGTAAGCCTATAGAAGTAATATTTAAATACAAGTCGTATGTTCAGTACATTTCTTTTTTTGTTTGGAGGTATAATTACTGGAGTAATTCCTTTTAATAGAAAGGGTCATTACAATTCAGTATTCATGGATAGATTTTTGGAGTGAAAGAGGTAAGTATGGAAGATATTGTAAAGAATTAAAATGGTTGTGTGATGCAGAAAAAGAAGATTGGAAAAAGATCAAAATGCACTTATCTACCAACACTCCAGTTTTAGTTTGTTTTTTTAATTTTTAAAGCTATCTCGTAATATCTTTCCTCTTCCTCTTTAATAAATGAAACAAACACTAGGCAGCTACATTTTTCCCCCAGTCATTTCACTTTATGTAGAGACAGCATGTAAACACTTTTTAAAAATTTTTAATCCCTTATTTGTAGTGTAAAGCAGAGGATGGTGTGGGATACAGGAGACCCTTCTGAGGTCAACAATAGCACAAATGCTTAGCAGTATTCACTCAGAGGGCCAGGGTTTTTGTGTACCATTTTCTGGCAGGAGTGAGTAGGCCTGCTGTTTTTTTTTTTTTGTAACTGCTGAGTGTTTTAAAATACGTTTCAGTGTTTCACATTTAAAAAACGAGAAGACATTCTTGCTTTATTGGTTACCTGCTGGTTGGGCATCTAGGTTATGGTACAGTATGTTAAAAAGTCATTTGTTTATAAATAAATTTTGGTAAAATGCTGACATCCAGTCCTGCTGCGTTAATACATTTTCTATTCCGAGGCAGTGTGAAAAGTGGACTGGTTTGAAAAGAGCCAAGGAACAAGCAGGGTGATGGTTTGAACGGGAGACCAGTTGTATTTGGTTTTATGGCCTGGTATATTTTGGATTTAAAATGAAATGGAAAAAATGATAGAAGTGATCCCTATGCATTTATTTTTATGGATACCCTTAATTTCATGGGCATGTCTAACAGTGAACTATGTTCTAACTGGAGCTTAGGGCTTATTTTAGATATTGGAGTGCAGCTTTATTACAGATGGACTGTATCTTTAAACATTGCATTTTGATCAATTTTGTATGTTCACGTGTATTAAAATATTGTGCATTAAATGTTTTGCCCCGTTTGCTATTATATGGTCAAGGCGTTTTTTTTTTGTTTTTTTTTTAAGCACTATTGTGATTAACTCATGTAAGCGGCATGGGTCAGGGAAAATTATTTCCTATTTTTATGCCTAATTAATTTTCTGTTTTCCAGTATTGCATTAATTTATTTTTGGCTTCCATTTCTGTGTAACCAAAATAATTACTGTATTTGTGTAACATTCATTTGATTTTGTTGCTAAAAAAAGTTTATAGTTTTTATTTAAAGTAATCTGTACCTTAATTTTTTTCTATGTAACCAAGCACTTTAAGCAATAATGTCGATCTTGTGAAATTTCAATCAGTTTAACACCCTGACTCTAAAATTGTTCGCAAAAAAAATAAATAAAATTAGGAAATTCTCTTCCTAGAGAATTATATCTGGGTAATGTTACACACATGGACCTAAAATGCTTTTTATAAAGTGTAAGTCAGAGGCAGGTCTCGTGTTCAGGTAATCATTCCAAATTTAATTTTGAAGAAGTGGGAATGTAAAGAACATTCTGGTTGTAAGATACAAAGACAGTGCTACTGTGAAGGTTGATAAAGTCAATCAGTGTTCTAGAGATAACTTTTTTTTTTTAGTGAAAAAATTTAGTGAAAAATCAGAATTAATCTAGAAATCAGTATGTGGGGAAGAGCAAATTGAGAATATTAGTGGAAAAAAAAGAATTTGGGAATAGGTAATTAAATACCTCAGAGTATTACATCAATACGTAGGAGTGCCTTAGGATGCAAAAGTTTAATGTGTTTGGCTGCCAACCTGAATGTTGGAGGTTGGAGTTACCCAGAGGCACCACAGAAGAAAGGCCTGGCAATCTACTTCCAAAAAATCAGCCACTGAAAACCCTATGGAATGCAGTTCTGCTCTGACACACATACGGTCACCATGAGTCAGAATCTACTTGACGGCAACTGGCTGATAATTAAGGCATCAAAATGAATTGCTTGGCTGGGACTTTGCATATAAAATTTCCTTTACCAGTTACAAAATAAAAGATCCAATGCAAAGATAAGGAAGTGGCTTCCAGCTCTATGATCACATTAGCATCTAGATTCTAGCAAAGAGTTGGAGTGTGGTCTTGACCCTGGTGTGCTGACTACCAGCCTCCTGCTTCTGGGTCTATTTCTGAGGTGAGGGGACCGTCCAGCTTCAAAAATCCCCAGCTGAGTGCACACCGCTCACTACTTGGCCCTGCCACAAGGGGGCAGGTATGAGTCTGCCCTGTGGTCTCAGAGTGTGCCCAGGTGGGGCGAGATTCAGGCCTGCTGCTAACACAGGGCTCCCAGGCCGTTCACTTTAAGGGGTCAGTGTGTGGACAGGGGATTGTTACATGAATTCATCTGCCCAGATTCAGTTACAGGAATAAAACCTCACAGACCGAGAGCAGAGGAATGTGCCCTAAATGGTGAGCCTCTTGGTTCCTGTTTGTCTTCTTGGGGCAATTAAATTGAACCTGACTGAGCTCGAACAGAGGCCTGTTGGGAAAGTCGCCTCCATCTGCCATGAAGGCTGTAGGAAGGTAAGACATTGGGATGTTTTTGGCCTTTCTAAGCCTCGTTTTCTCCATCTTCCAAGTGGGGCTTATAGGATAGGCCTGCCACCAACGTGACACCATTTCTGGGGAATGAGAAGTATTCCTCACTTCCCAAATTCCTCTCCCTCTCTGTTCATTGACAAAATAGGCATAACTGGGAATGAAACCTTCGAAGCCATTGCCTTACATTCACACGGGGATAAAAATATTTGTTAAATCTTTACCCCCCGAGGGAAGATTTTCATTGTAATACAAAAGACAAACCACTTAGACTTTTCCTAGTGATGCCTCAGGTGGAGAGATTTTTAATCAAGCAACTATTTAAGGCATTGTGAGAGGAGGTGGGACATAAAAAGGTGAGCTAGCTAGGCTCCGTCTTCTATTGCTTGCCTCAGAGGAAAAGTCTGTGTGGAAAAGAAATTTAAATTGTAGAAATAATTAATTCATCACAATTCTATGCAGTTGGTATCCTGGATCTCACTGTTACATAAAGCAGGCCAGTTCCCTTTTTCCTTGGAGTCCCATTTTCTTCCCTTTCTGCTTTTGGTGTTGTCTTAGTTACTGACTTGGGGTGACTGACGCCAGGAGCCTTGGTGGTACAGTGGTTAAGTGTTTGATTGCTAATGGAAAGAGCGGTGCTTTGACCCCCAAGCCACTCTACAGGATTATAGCCTTGGAAACCCTATGCAGCAGTTCAACTCTGTCCTCTAGGGTCACCATGAGTTGGAATCAACTCAATGGCACACTATAACAGCAGAGACACAGTTTTTAAAACAATGTGTAAATCAGTTAACATCATGACAGTGAACCTGAGTGTTTTGCTTCTTAATTCTTACATTAAAGGAGTGAAAATGTTAGAAGCCTAAGAGATTTTGTGAATTAAATATCAGTCGTTTCTAAACAAGCTGATTACATTATGACACAAGTATAGACTGTCCAAACTATCCAAAATAAAGGCATGAGAGGTTTAAGGCTGTGTCACTAGTGATTTTATTGGTTTATCAGCCTGTGTTGATTTCCTTTTTTATGGTTCCATTATGTTTTAATAGTGCTTTGGCCCAAAGCACATGAGGAGCTTATAAACAAATGAAAAATAACTTTGTTTTGGTTTTGAGACATCTGAGTCAGAAATGACATTAGATTTTGTAAAAAGGATTTCTAATTTTGTGCCCATTTCCCACATGTTTATACATAATAAAGTATTATTTACTGTGGGGTCATCATGTTCAAGTTGTAAAATACAGGTATGTGTCTTTCACATACCCCCCCCCCCCCGTGTGGGCGTACACGTTACAGATAAGGCAGTGTGGAACTGCACAGAAGCTTTTCATGGGAAGGATGAGGAGGTTGAGAGGTGGTGGTGTAGGTTGAAATCCTGTTTTGTTCTTACTTCCTCATTGTAGGGAGCTTGGAGGGCATACTGGACTTAGATCTGACTTGGTTGGGAGCAAAATAATTTGGTAGTTAAAGACACCATTTCTATATATTTAACCAACTCTTCCTCCTGTAATCCAACTCAGCTATATTTCAGAGTCTCTCAACTGACCTTGCCTGAAAGAACATTCTGTGCTGAGACAACTGAAAATAAACACAAGAAAAATTTAAGAATGAGCTGTCATACCTTCTGCAGCAAGCTGAGTCTCTTCACTTTAGAGCTGTCTCCAGGCTGAGAATTGTCTATTTTCCAATTTGAAGAGATTAGAAAAGTATATATTTTTTTAGTGGATTATGAAACCTGTGTAAAGAAGAGACTCATTCTATTTCCCAATGTAGAATAAATCATTTGAAAACTTTTTATACTTTTAAAAGAAGCTGCTTCTGCATTTTTTTTCTCCGTTTCAGCTACATCAAAGCCCAGGGAACAAAACAAATAAGTATAAATTGCTAGCCTAGATATGTTGTATATGCCAACCTGGATTTAAGAGGCTTCAGCAGAAGTGGGGGTGTAGGCTGTGGAATAGAAAGGAAGCCCCCTTCCTGGATTGAGCTTGACTTTTAAACTGGGATATGGTCTGAGGGATCTGTATGAATGAAGGTTTATGCAGAACCTGCCCTCAGGGCTTAGTGAGTCTCAGAGCGGTCAGAGGAGAGAAATAAGGTTAAGCGCTGCCTGACATTACTGCTTAGTTTCTGTCTTGGGCCTCACTGCAACACCTGCCTCTGTCTGTGCATTTGCCTTGCAGAGTTAGATGGGTTCCCAGGGAACTCCACAAGTGCCCCTAGCTGATACGTGACCTGCAGATTCTATGCCCTTTCAGTTGTTGCCCTGACTTCGATATCTGCTGTAAGAATTTTAGACTCGAGAGTAGTGTGAAAAGGTCCTGGAGTTGGAATTACAAGTTCACTTGGAATCCAGGTTCTAGTGTGGGTCAGTATGTGGGGAGGGCAAAGGATGTGGAGATGTGGAGACACAAGATCTGAGTTCAGGTCCTGACCATTGCTTCTTGGTTGGATGTTAGAGGTTTGTGGCCTAAGTCAGATGTTTCACATACTGTTGGGGTTAGACTGCTGTTGAGTGGTGTTTGGTCAAGGGATGCTTCTCTGCAGGTCCTCAAGGGAGATGTAAACACAATTGTCAAAGCAATGGAAAGCACATAATACCTAAAGTTACTTAAGTACTTAAGAAGTTCCAGGCACTTTCCTATACTGCTTACGTTTTATGTATTCCTCACTGACATTCGCCAGGCATAAAAGACAAGACAGAAGGGAGCTGAGAGAGAAAAGCAGCCGCCCCTGACAGCCAGGAGGAGTCCCTGGGTGGTGCAAATGATTAACATGTTCAGCTGCCAACTGAAAGCTTGGAGGTTGGAGTCCAGCCATAGGTGCCTCAGAAGACAAGCCTGGCAATCTACTTCTGAAAAACCAGCCCTTGAAAATCCTATGGAGCACAATTCTACTCTG